AATTTTGTATTTAAATAAGATTTAATTTTGCTTATTTTAAGGTTAGGATTCTCATTTTTGGAAATTCTTATGATGAAGAGCTTCAAGAACAGTTCCAATTAAAAGTTTTCATAACTTGTATTCATTTGAATATAAATCTCTTGATAAACATTATAAAACTCAAAATAAAAGAGGAATCGAAGCCAAAGTGAAATGATGATTATATAGTCCGGCAATTAAGTCAAGTGAACTTTAAGGCTAAAGATAAAATGCAGACCTGTGTAGAGATTTGGTGAAAAATATTAGTAGTGTTTTTTTGGGGTAATTTACATAAGTAGCACAAAATTATTATGTATTTACATATCTCACACCTAAATTTTCTTATTCACATATCTGGCATTTGAGTGTTTTAAATTTATGCATGAAAATGTGTATCTCACTTCTAAGAAAATGATAATAGTTTATGTGATATTAAAGGTTTGAGTGTTCTGTGTGTAAATATGAAGTTTAGGGACAAGAGATGCAATGGTTACCAGACAACTATTCAAGGTCCTCTAAAGTCATTTACGGCATGTTATTAACATATTTGTCATATTTTATAATAGACTGGGGCGGACGACCAGGCTTCCTGAAGCCATTTAGGACAAGTTAGAGTTCTTAAGTGCATTTATGAGAGCCTTGATTTGAAGGGTAAAAGAAAATCTACAAGACTATATAGAATATTAGACTATCTAGAATGTTAGACTTGTAAGCACAAAATCATTAAGCTATCTTGCACCATTCAAGGAAAAAAGTTAGGACCAAGTAACTCTTTGTAACGTAAATAAAAGTTAGGATAATGGAATCAAAATAAAGTTTAAATGTATCATAATGATGTTTAAACATTATATTATTATTACTGGTAATAACTAATTTTAATATTAATTTGTTAATGGACCAAATAATATTTATTAATATTGCATAACTTATTCATTATTTGTAGGTAGGAATTTATTCATTAAAATGAGAGTTACTGAATCAATGTGGGAGTTATTTATTCATCGTTGAGTTCTACGGCTCATTTGAGTAGTCGAACGGAATGCTTTGGTTTGGTGAGAACAAATAGATTTTAATGGGTGATATGGGATAACTTATATGGGATGTATCTGAAAATATGGTCGGAGCCTCCATACTGAAATGACCAAGGCGAAGATCAGTTTCTCCATTATTGGATATCGGATTTCGAAGCCTTTGAGAACTCAGCTAGTGTGGTACACTAGGTGTTGCTTTCCTAGTTTTCTAACCAAGACCAAACTGACGGCTTTGGGGTCGACCCTGCGGTAAAGATAAAGTTTTCCTTCGGTTTTGGGCTCTAAAGGAAGGGAAGTGAGGCGAGGAACTGCTTCAGCTTCCTAAAGGCCTCCTCGCATTCTAGTGTCCATTTGAAGCATTTGGCTCTTCCG